CTTGAGCTAGGAAGCACTCTCTTCACAAGTATCATTTTATGTTCCATAGTCCAGTCTAATCTTTGTCTGAAGAGTTGACCTGGGGAATGGTTTTACCAACTGGTGGACTTGAACTGCTGACCTTTTGGTTAGCAGCCAAGCTCTTAACCTACTAAAGCCTACTAGGTATGGCCTTAGACAATTAATTTTTTATTCTCTAATTCCTAATGTGTAAAATAAGGGTAATAATACTGTCTACTCTATAGGACAATCATGAGGCGTAAATGCTGTAATAGATTTCCAGCACTTAGCATGAGGCTAGCACAGAGAACCACCTGACAGTTTCAGCAGTTGGTATTACATCTGACTTACAGTAGGTGCTGGTTGTCAGTTATAGCAGAGGACCTGCCTGTTCCTTTGAAGTTCAAAATGAGAGGACTGTGGGAGAAGAGTGCCACCCAATGGAAGAACGGAGATTTTGCCTATAGAACTATTTCTAATATGCCTCTGGGCCCTCACACATGCTGGTCTATGTATGCTAAAGGGCTTTCAATTCAAGATCTCTCACCTAAGTTCAAAGACATCCTTCCAAGGAATACAAACTACAGTTACAGTTTATAATGTCATGTTTGCTGTAATGCTCTGTTGTAGTTGCTGAAATATTCAGAACCTCAATCATTGCTTGGTTCTTAAAATAATTACAAGGGAAAGGCAAACTCCATTAGTCAGTAAAATGCAGCAGGACAACTAGGAGTAGTCCCGTTGGGCAATAAAAACATGAAACGCTTAAAAATACACCTATCTTTAGATCATTCTGCTTACAAAGTCAATCCAGATTTTTTTCACTAGAACCCTATCCTAATGAGGTATTTTAAGTTAGCCAAATCAGCCACTTTTAAATCTGTGTATATCTCCAGCCACATATTTTTTTTACTTGCTTTCATTATATTCATTATGAGTACAACATTATGTTATAGTATTGCTTCAGATCCAAGATGTATTGTTTTTTCAACATTTTTACATTCTGCAGATTGGGATGTGTCTTACCATGTGTGTGTAAAGTTATATCATGGTGGGTTTTTCTTCCTTAAAAAGCTGATTTTAAACCAAATGATGAAGTCTTACACTTACAAAATTATGGTAGTTTTAAAATCACATTGCTTTGTGAGTTGCCTAAGGTGGTAACTCTTACTTTGCAGACACTTTTTTCTTTCACAATTGGCAAAAGGAACAAGTTGAATATATAAGACAATCAAAAAGGCTTTCTTAAGATTGAATAATACATATATACATATGGATCTTAGAGACATCCCTCCAGTTAAAATTTGGAGTTTATTTTTCAACATTACCTAGATACTTTAAAAGTCCCTCAGATGTCTTCAAATAGGAAATAGCATATTTGTAGTAGCAAAAAGATCTAAGAAGAGCAAAAAGCCTCCCTTACCAACTCCCAGAAATTCCTTTCCTCTTTCTCAGGGCACCTCCTTCTTTTGAGGGCCCCTGTCCCCTGATGCGGAGTCCCTGGGTGGTGCAGATGGTTAAGCACTAGGCCGCTAACCAAAAGGTGGCTGTTTTGAACCCACCCAGAGGCACCTTGGAAGAAAGGCCTGGTGATCTACTTCCAAAAGGTCACAGCCATGAAAATGCTATGGAGTATAGTTCTACCCTGAAACACCTGGGGTTGCCCTGAATCAGAATTGACTCCACGGCAACTGTTTTTTTCTGGTAACCTGATATGACTAGCTAGGGGGGCAGCCTTGCCTATCAGTGCTGGGCTTTAGGATCACACTTTCATGTGCTACTACTACACACCATTCAAAACCTGACACATACAGTACAGTGCTGGGCACACAGTAGTTACTCAATAAATACCGTGTAGTTCATTAATGTGAAATGAAGGAGTATAACGGTTAAGCGTTCCACTGCTAACCAAAGGTTGGCAGTTGAAACCTACCAGCTGCTCTGAGGGAAAAAAGACCTGGTGATCTACTTCCCGTAAAGATTATAGCCTAGGAAACCCTTTAGCGCAGTTCTACCCTTTCCTAGAGGATTGTTCTAAGTCAGAATCAACTCAACAGCACACAACAACGATGCGAAATGCAAAACTGTGTTCTAATTAAGCATACATATAGCTTTTAATATTGGAAAAGAAATTGTAAAAATGCCCCGTTTTTTTTTTTTAACTTTTACACAAATAAAAGCTGCCAATAAACTAAAGCCTAAGTTTTCTTTACCTTGAACCATCAAAATTATTGAAAAAATCATAACCACTTTTCTATTTTAGTAGCAAACATGAACATTACCACACCTAAAAGATGAAACAACACCCTCATAAAACACAGATTGGTCAGGGAAAACCCAATGGTAAATCTCATTTAACCACAGTGAAATGTGGAGTTAAAAGCTGACTATATGAAATATGGAGTCCTGGTGGCACAGTGGTTAAGAGCTATGGCTGCAAACCAGAAGGTCAGCAGTACGAATCCACCAGCTGCTCCTTGGAAACCTTATGGGGCAGTTTACTCTGTCCTATAGGGTTGCTACAAGTCAGCAACAGGTTTGGTTTTGGTTTTTTATGTGAAATATGGATTATGGCCCAATTAATTTGAAAAGACCGAAATTACTGACAATGATAACTTTTAGGAATGCTCACAGCCCTTAGTGATTACGTGATAAGTTAGTATGCAAATATCATAATAAATTGAAAAATCATAACCCATATATAACTGAGAAGAAAAAAATATAAAAACAAAATGGAAGAGAGAGGAAGGGAAAGAGGAAGGGGATATATCTTAAATATCTGATCATAGTTTTTAAAAAATTTCTGATCTCTAAAATAGTTTACATTTCAAAAAAGGCTGAAATTACAATAGGCACAGAATCAGTTTTTAGATCTTATAATAAAAATTAATTATATGCCTATTTTCCAGAAATTATGCTTAAAAAGCAAATTCCAAATACTACTAAATCCATTTCATTTGCTATCTAATTCCATCAGAGTTATCTTAAGTTAAAATAACCACAGGACTTATAGACAGGGAAAATGAGGTGGTGTGCTTTTGCACACCTTTTTGTATGAGTCTGACTTGCTTACAGAATTAGATAAGTTATCCACTTATTTTTCCAAATTAAAATAATGGAAAAGCCCTTCCATTTTCCCTCTCTGAGCATTGATATGTGTAATAAAAACAATATTTTCTATTACTTTCATATTATTTGGCTCAGCAGCTTCAGGAACTCTGCAACAGCCTCATTTGAGCTTCACTGAAGGGAGGGATACCCACAAAATCTCCACAACAAAAGATTATTTTCATTGAGGTCCAGATGATCTATCATTAGGAAGTATACATGTGCCTATCATGCATGCGATGTTTCACAAGCCCCCTACAAAAGTTTTTGAGTTACAAATGACACATTCTAGATTATTGTCCTATATTTGGTACAGTCTCATTTGGAAGTCTTGTATTTGCACTTTTCCAAGAACCACAGTTAAAATAAAAGGCGGAGGAAACAGTTCACTTCCTGCCTCCAAATAATGTCATATCCGCTTATGCTTAATTGATTTACAAGTTCAGAAAAATGCTGTTTTCATGCACACTGTGAATCACATCAGCCAAACCACTTTGAAAGCAAAAAACAAAAGCCATGGTTTAGTTAGTAAATAAAGGCTCCACTTCAAGTTTCCATTCTACAAAGCAACTCATCCACATAAAAAGTCAAAAAGGACTTCATTTAATTAGTGATATATAAAGACTTTGCATAGAAAAAGTTACAAAGTAATGCAAAAAAAAAAAAACTAGGCACAGTAATTTTAAAACAAATATTTAAAAGTATAACTTTACATAATGTTTAACATTCTCATGTTTATTGCTTTCTCCACACAGCAGAGAAATGAAGTGCATAATAATACATGCTGTGTCTTTATCTTTCAAACATAAAATCTCACGTGTTCAATTTCCATGTATTAAGATTACTTTAGGTCAGAAAACAAAAGCAAGAAACAAAACCAAAACACCTTTATGTAGCACTAGTCTAAGCATGGACAAAAATAATTTATGTACATCCCATTGAATACATTCATCTTGATTTGGGATCAAATGCAATCACTAACTTGATGAAGAGCACTTAAGAATCCTGACTTTTCTCTTCCCAGTGCTCTCTCCCTGTCTCATCACCTCCAGAAATACAACTTATCCCAAAAGGTGACAAGAATTAGATATTACATGTTATCAGGAGAAAATGAAGAGGATAAACATATAAAAATTGTCCAACTGAAACTAAATAAATTAATCCAAACTCCTACAAACTGGACAGTTTTCAGGTTAGCATGAATCAAACAGTCTTGAGTGGGCAACACAGTAGCCAATTGCTTCTAGGTGTACTAGATAAGTGTATGGTTTGTATAGATATAAACAAGCACCATATTTTGAGCCACCAAAAAAGGAAAGAAAAATGCCTGGGGGTCTTGCAGGCAAGGCAGAAATGCTTGTTAATCCGAGCACTGATGGGATAATTGCTTATACCAACGCACTGCTAAACGTCACCACTTGGCAAGTCTGTACAAAGTAAGTAAACTAGATAAAACTAGGTCTTTCAACTTGAAAATTATTTTCCACAATCCTTTTGGCCAATAAAAACCTGTTGCTTTCACAAGAACACTCTTCTCTGGAATTGTATTAAATGTCTGCAGCCTAATGCAAGACTTCCGTCCCTTTCCTTTCTGAACCCAACCTCTACGCTCTTCTTGTACAATATTATATGTTCAGAAGAAAACTTTACTAGCTCAGGCACTTATGAAACATTAATTTTTTTCCCCATCCAATTTCAAGAGAATTCAGTCAGTGTATTTCTTGTCCACAACTAAGACACACTGATGCATTGCTGGATGGTACAACCCATACATTTTCCAGGAAACTTCTAAATGGAAACAAGAAGGAAGTTTTCAAAAGTTGCTGATGTCAGTTAGCAAGCTGCCTTAAAAAAAAGAGAAAAAACATAATACCACATTTCCACTTGTGAGGTTTGTGTCTCAAATAGCTTTATTGTTCCTTTGTGGATCTGTAGGCATCTGTATGGCTACCTTCTGGGTGCAGAGGTTTTAAGCTGACGCTGAAATGAAGGACATTCAATTACTATTGCAAGAAGTTCAAAGAATAGCTTCCTTGAAAACTTAAAAAGCTCCAACTTCTGTCCCCCAGGGTCGGTAAGGTTTATTTGTTCCACTGCCTGTCTGCTGAGGACTGGACGTGGCTGATACTGATAAGGGTGGGGTGATGGCTGTTGCAGCTGCCACTGCTGCAGCTGCGTTTGGGGGGAGCATGGGGAAGGCTCCGGCGAAGGACAGAGGGAAGCTGTGAGCAGCTGCGGTGGCTGCTGCAGCAGCAGCGTGGACGGTGGCCGAGAGGGACAAGAGAGACGTGGAGAGAGGTGGCACGCAAGGGGCGACACTGCCCGTTGATGGCATTCGGAGGGCAGAATCGGCATGGGCAAACGTGGCGGTGAGGAGAGCGGAGCCGTGGGCAGGAGGCACTTCTGAAGTTGTGGAGAGGCGACAAGGGGTTGATTCTGAGGCGTGGAGTCCGTTTGGTTGCAGCAGGGCCGTGGGAAGATGGTGGAAGGCAGCAGCCCAGTGATGCGGTTGTAGGGGGTGATGGTGGTGGGCCATGGAAGACGTCATTGCTGCCGCCTCCCGCTGGGAGGCGCAAGTGCTAAGATGAGACACAAGTCGCACACGCAGTGGGTCCGAGGAGTCCAAGCCTTCCACGGAGCTCAGGTACCTTGCCACTTCTGTTAGGCACTCTCGGAATCCAATGCTCATGAAGTCCATGGCAAGAGCATGCGCGTCAAAGTAGCCTAAAAGGGGATTGGTGCAAAAGAGGGGAAAGGAGAGATTGAGAAAGAAGGTGTCAGACAAAGAAGCAGCAGAGAGAGGATGATATAATTACTACCAGTAACTACCAACTAATGTTCCACTCTGTCCTTGAGATTTGAGTAGAATAATACTTCCTGAAAATTTTACCAGCTATTTATGGTTTTAATTATTGCAGAAGTTAAGAAAGTATACTTTGTGAGATCGGAACTCTTATGCACTGCTGGTGGGAATGCAGAATGATACAACCATTTTGAAAAATGATATGGCGCTTCCTCAGAAAGCTAGAAATAGACATACCATTCGATCCAGCAATCCCACTCCTAGGAATATATCCTAGAGAAATAAGAGTCATCACTCGAATAGACATATGCACACCTATGTTCATGGCAGCATTGTTCACAATGGCAAAATGATGGAAACAACCTAGATGCCCATCAACAGATGAATGGATAAACAAACTATGGTACATACACACAATGGAGTACGATGCAACAAGAAAGAACAACGATGAATCTGTGAAGCATCTCATAACATGGATGAAACTGGGGGACATTATGCTGAGTGAAATAAGTCAATCACAAAGAACAAATATTGTATGAGACCTCTATTGTAAAAACCCATGAAAAAGTTCACACACAAAATGTAACAACCTTTGTTGGTTACCAGGGATGAGAGGGGTGCAGGGGGAAATACTAAATAGGCAATAGATAAGTGGTATCTTGAGTGAAGGGTGAGACAGTACACAATATGGGGAAACCAGCACAACTTGTACAAGGAAAGGTCATGGAAGCTCCATAGATACATCCAAGCTCCCTGAGGGACTGAACTGCTGGGTGGAGGGCTGTGGGGACCAAGGTCTCGGGGAACATCTAGCTCAATTGGCATAACACAGTTTATAAAGACAATGTTCTACATTCTACCTTGGTGAGTAGCGTCTGGGGTCTTAAAAGCCTGTGAGCGGCCATCTAAGATACTCCACTGGTCTCATCCCTTTGGGAGCAAGGTAGAATGAAGAGAACAGGATAGAAGGAAAAGATTAGTCCAAAGGACTAATGGACCACAGCTACCAAGGCCTCCACCGGACTGAGTCCAGTACAGCCAGATGGTGCTCAGCTACCACCACTGACTGCTCTGACCAGGACCACAACAGAGGGTTCTGGACAGAGCTGGAGAAGGATGCAGAACAAAATTCTAACTCACACACACACACAAAAAAAGACCAGATTTACTGGCCTAAAGGAAACTGGAGAAACCCCGAGAGTATGGCCCCCAGACACCCTTTTAGCTCAGTGGTGAAGTCATTTCCGAGGTTCACCGTTCAGCCTGGGAGTGGACAGCCCCATAAAACCAAATGGGACTAATGAGGTACAGCAGTCCAGGGACAAGGGCCAGAAGGCAGAAGGGGACAGGAAAGCTGGTGATAGAGAACCCAAGGTTGAGTAAAGATAGTGTTGATGTGTAGTGAGGTTGTTAACCATTGTCATAGGGCAACGTGCACTAACTGTTAAATGAGAAACTATTTTGTTCTGTAAGCCTTCATCTAAAGTGAGAATAGCGGCACAATTGGAAGAGCGTAGTCTATGTCACTGGACTGTGCACGTAGAAATTTTTGAAATGGTGTACCTTTGGCTATGTATATTTTCACCAAAAAAAAAGGTCAAGAAGGGAGAGGGTTGACATGTTGTGGGGTTGTTAACCAATGTCATAAAACAATATGTGTACTACTGTTTCATGAGAAACTATTTGTTCTGTAAGCCCTCACCTGAAGTACAATTAAAAAAAAAAAAAGGGTACTTTGCAATTTACATGTGTGACAACTCTGGCAATGCAATATGCTACGGTTATTCTTGCAACCAAATATCACACTGGGAAAAAAATTAAGAACGTCCGTGTTTGAAGCACTTCTAGAAGGAAAAAAAGAAATGGTACCTCTCCTCTTGTACTGTGGGATAGTGAAATTCCCCAGCAAGCTTTTTCGTGGTAATAGAGTTCCAGTCTCTCTGTCTCTGTCACATGAGTGGAGATTAAAGGGCTTATCTGAAACATCCTCATTCTCTTAGCAGTTATAACAGACATAAGTGCATCTTAGCAGCTTTGAGGGCTTTCTTTCAGAACATGCTAAAACCTCATCTCTTAATAAGTTCATAAATGCTTTTTGACATAGTTTTGTATCAGCAAAGTGAAAACAACTTGTCATTACTCTGTATGAAAAAAGTTAATGAAAACAAAATGAGGCCTCTTTTGGGGAATTTGGTTACTAACTGGAAGATCTGGAACATATAATTTTCTTTTGAGCAACATAAGGCTGCTTACCAATATGAGCTTAAACCATCGGCCCTTGAGTGGATTCTGACTCATGGCCACCCCAACAGTGTCAGAGTAGAACTGTGCTCTATTTTCAAAAGTAGATCACCAGCCTTTTTTCTGAAGTGCCTCTGTGTGGACTTGAACTGACAACCTACAGTTAGCAGTCAAGTGCATTAACTGTTTGTGCCACCCAGGGACTCTGATATGAGATGTTATTGTTGTTAGCTGCTGCTGAATTGGCTCCCAACTCACTGCACAATGGGGTCAGCTGTGATGCACAGTGGCTAGTTTTTCAAAAGTAGATCACCAGGTCTTTATTCCTACTCTGTGTCAATCTTGAAGCTCCGCTGAAACCTTTTCAGCATCAGAGTAACACAAAAGCCTCCACTGAAACGCAAGCGCTGGCTGTGCTTGAAGTGCACTGGCTGGGAAGCAAAACCGGATCTCCTGCATGGAAGGTGAGAATTCTACTACTGAATCACCAGTGTCCTCTCCCCCCATGTGTAATTACTATACTTTAACTCCTAGTTTTCCTGAAGTTTAAGTATTTCTCTCCTTTATTGTTTAGACTACTTTTTTCTGGAATTCACCCAAGAAGTGTCTGTTAATTGTCTATTAATTTTATCAGTGTGTATTCATGCACCTCCCCATACCTATGATTTAGTTTTTATGCCATAAAAATGGCTGGAACTGTGTCACATTTATCATCTTAGTAGCTCTTTTTATCCCAAGACAATGCATTTGAATAAAAAATAGTAACGTCTGATTATTACAGTGCCTATTTAGAGCACAATAATAACCAGTCAACAAATGTCACCACTTTGAGTGTGTGATCTTCACTATGTACAAATGACTTTTCTGATTTCTTTTTCATTTTCTACTTTTTTTTTTAAATAGAAATTTCAAATTAAAAGTTTAGTCTACTCACTCTTGGGATGTGTATACATATGAATGAGAAATACGACATCAAACAAGGTTATTTTCATTGAAGGTTACTAGCTATATTATCTTTTTTATGTTTTTGCATTTATCATCTATTAAAAAATATTAAAAAAAATACTCTTATTTTGTAATCAGGTACTTTGGAAAAAGTAGTCATGTACATTCAGAGTCCTAAACCTAGAACATTTGGAAGTCCCCAAAAGATGTTTGGGGCAAAAATATATGCCAGCAAACCGATAACAACAACAGCACAAAGCTGATACAAAAGAATATTATGAATGCGGAAGACTGGCAACAAAAATAGTTATTATCCCAGGACTTTGGCTGAGTTAGCAAACAAAGCCCCTGGGACTACGAGGGAAAGCTATTCCTGAAGAAGATGCCTCCACAGAAAGCATTTCACACGAGAGTCATCAGGGCTATGAAGCCTTCTGACTTCCATGACAGAAAGAGAGAAGTAATCATTGAGTAGACAGAGTCCAGAAACGCAGACGGATTTACAAATTTAGATTACTCTGCTAAATTCTCTCTAGAAACAATTGCAATACTAAGACAGACCACAGAGAATGGACTAACAGAATTGGAACCCCAGGAGTCCTCCAAGAGTTTTCATGTGTGGTCACAAAGTAAGTGAAATTCGTGGTTTGCTAATTATGTAATATTGTATATGACTGAGTCCTCTGTTGCATCTAAGGAATATGTTGTTGTTGTTAGGTGCTGTCGAGTCAATTTTGACTCATAGTGACCCCATATGACACAATAGGGTCTTTTAGGCCGTAATCTTCCCAGGAGCAGATTGCTACGTCTTTCTCCCATAGAACCACTGACTGGGTAAGAACGGCCAACTTTTCAGTTAGCAGCCAAGCATTTAACCACTGTACCACCAGGGCTCCTAAGGAATATAAATGACGTAAATCCTATCCTATTGCTAAATGCAGTGGGAAATTACGATGAGTACCTGTCTCCTACAAATGGATCTTGGGACAACAATAATAGCACGTGTCCATACCACTTTCTGTGCCAGCACAGCTCATAGGGTTTAGGTGAATTAACTCCTAACAACCTTGTGAAATGCACACTATCACTGTCCTCATTTTGCAGATGAGGAAACTGGAGCTCAGAGAGGGTTAGTAATTTATCCAAGGTCACAGAGCTAATAAATGACAAAGCCAGGATTTGAAATCGGGCAACCCAACTACAGGATACACGCCCCTCATCAATACACTCTAAGGCCTCTATAGCAATTGCAAGTCTTCAACAGCATGAGTCCAAACTGCCAGCCTCTCTTCTTATAATTGAAGGCCAACACACCCTCCTACACAATGACCTCTCTAATGACCCAGCAGTCAGATGACTTGTATGGAGCCTGCTTGGAAATGTCTGCTCATAAATAAACTATTTTGCGATGATTTTTAGGACTGTTCAGGTAGCCAAGAATAGCAACCAAGATGGAACTCAGTTTTGATAATAAATCATAAAAATAATATTACAATTTATGCCAAATATTTGAAGCCCTGATAAGAATTCTTAGCCTTGTGGCTAACAATGCCAAGAAAGGTAGAGCAGTCAAACAACTTTTCTTGCACCATCATTACTTCATTCAGTCTCCTAACATCAGTAGGGAGTAGTTGTGGACACAGAATCACGGGGTTGGAGGGGGCTTTGGAGCTCACAGTGCTCGTGTAGGCCCCAAGGTACAGCAGAGAACATCTGCCTCAGGTCAAAGTGAGGCAGAGGCCAGGCTGGGCTAGATCACTGCTTCCAACAATTTAGTTCTTTTCTCTACAATGTAAGAATGTTTGCATTCTGTGCTTCGGACTATATTTTAACAAGCAGAAATCACAATTCCATCCTTACTCCTTATCCTTTCAGGACAGTTTCTAGAGAATGTACAACCTGGGTAGGTCACATCACGTAGGGTTCCCTGTACATGGATCACCGCCAACCTGACACAAGTAAAAAACAGTTGAGGTCAGGGCTCTACAGGTCCTCACTAGTACAGCCATGTTGATGTTGTTGTTGGGTGTCATAGGGTTGATTCAGACTCACAGTGACCCTATATGACAGAGTAGACCTGCCCCACTGGATTTTGTAGGCTACAATCTTTATGGGAGCAGATTGCCAGGTCTTTCTCCTGCAGAGCCCACTGGTGGGTTCAAACTACCGACCTTTTGGTTAGCAGCCAAGCACTGAACCATTGGGCTACCACAGCTTCTTAGTACAGCAATACCAGAGTTAAATACTGAAATACTTCCATACCAATCGGTGAACAGTCACTGCCCTCCAATATCATGGTGATCCCATGTGTTACAGAGTAGAACTGCTCCATAGGGTTTTCTTGGCTGTAATCTGTCGGAACCGACTCAACAACACCAACAAACCACCATCTTTACCAAAGTAGATCACCAGGCCTTTCCTCTGTGGTGCTGTTGGGTGAGTTCTAACTGCCAACCTTTTAAGTTAGTAGTCAAGTGCAAATCATTTGCACTACCTGAGGACCAAGATATTAGGTACTAAAAGGTTAATGCTGAACACAGAGAGGCCTCTAGGATTCAGTTGCAGCACTTAGCTCCTTGTGATACCTGCTTTTTAACTCAGTTCTCAAATATACTGAATAACATTCTTGGCTAAGGTAAGTATCAAAGACCTCCTTGAAGGGTGAAAAAAGGATACAAAAGGGCAAAATCTAGTCTGAGTGATGTGTGGAGGAATTGGATAATTATATTGGAATTTCAGGATTTCAAGTTTATTTCTGCCAGGAGGTGAGAGTCGCTTCCTGATGACCTTGACAATCCCTCCCTCCCTAAGTACCTATCCAGTACGAAAGACATCACCCAGGGCACTGGGTCCAGGACACCGGCTCCAGTTTTCTCTCCCCAGGAGTGACTCTGCTCCATTAATGGTTTCTAATCCAGAGATACACTACCTGCACTTCTCATGTTCTGCATGATTTTAATCCAAGAAAACTCAAAATCTGAAAACAACAATGAAAATAATTCTAGAGTCACTTCCTTTGGAATAACCCTTACATTGAATCCTAGTCCTGACTTAATGGGAAAAAAGGAAGAAGAAGAGAAGAAGAAAAGAAAAACATTGCATCTAACCTCCTGTTTATGTTTGGATATTTGTATATTTGTTTTGTCTTTCTGTACAGATTCCAGCATGCTCTGCTTAAGTCCCAAACGAATCTCTGACCAACCTACTATGAATGAAACTTTACTCCCACAGCATTATGAAAGCAAATACAAGCCTAGGGTCAAGTGCTTCTTTTATTCCAGAAGTTCTTTCCCACGAGTTCAATCCTGCCATTAGCTTGTTAAAGAACTGTTCAGCTATGACTTCCTTACAATATTAGGGGGAAAAGATGAAAAGGGAAAAAGGGAAAAAATGAAGTTACCTACTTACCTTTACCTCCTGTTGCCTGAAGCATCTTCAAATGATCCACTGTCATTTGCAGTATTTCAGCTTTTTCTAATTTTGCAGATCCCTTTATTGACAAATAATAAAGTCTTACAAGTCCTACAGCAATTAATTTGGAACATTTTACACTGAATTTTGCATTATAGTTTCAATTTTCCCTCTCATTAAAAAATTCTAAATTTAATTTTTTGCACACAGAAATATCTGAATTGTTTCTAAACTTTACATGAAGCACTGATTACTATGTCACATCTAGTGACAGGTATTTGCTATTTTAACACTTAAAGACTAAAAGAAAGCATAATAATTTTTTTTATCATAAGAATAATTATACCCCTAAGGTGACTCTATCAAAACTGTTACAACTGCAAAAATCTCAAATTTTGCATCCAATCCCCACCTTGGGATATAATATATTTTATTTTCTTAGGGGACATTGAACAGTCTCATATGACACTGAAGTCTATACCAGTTGAATACAAACATTAGAGGATAAGGAGAGAGGATTTTAGCAAATTATTGTTAAAAGTAAATTTTTCAAAAACAGAACATTCTAATAGGTCTTTAAGGTAATTCATACTAGACCACTGGCAAAAATAAATAAATAAACCAAATCAAACCCCTTGCCGTCGAGTTGATTCCGACTCATAGCGACCCTACAGGGCAGGGTAGAATTGCCCCTGAAGGTTTCCAAGGAGCAGCTGGTGGATTCAAACTGCTGACCTTTTGGTTAGCTGCTGAGCTCTCAATCATTGCGCCACCAGGGCTCTGAGACCACTGGCAAGCAGAATCAAAAACAAAAAGGGGAAGACTTGTAAGGTTTTTCCCACTAATTACCAGCAGGTGTCACTGTGAATTCCAAGATCAGAAATGAGGAGAAGGAATATACTCCTTACCAAGGAAGATTCGTAAATGCTTACAGATTTCTGAATCATTTGAAAATAATCTTTAGTAAGATTGTCTAAGAAATATGTTTGCTTATGTTCATCACCTTTTAAAATAAGGTAACCCCTGGAAACCAACTGAAGTAGAAGAATGCAACCTTAAACTGTCTCAGAGGGCTGTGGGTGGCTTCTAATTTCCTGGAAGAGCTCAATAATTAAGCTAATCTATATACACACACAAATATATACGTGTGGGTACATATATACATGCATATATATTAAAAAGGACATTGAATTTTATTTTAGGTTCCTATGCTTTACTTGTTTGGCGAAATTATCAGCACCCAGTACATGGTAAGGGTGCCAGAGTTATTTAACTGCTCTAAAAAACATTCTTCTAATATTGTGACAAGGCCAGCTCACTAGAGTTGGTAGCCAAGCCCTGAAAACGGGAAGGCCTGTGTTTATGGTAACTAACTGTCAAACAACTGAGGTTAGCTTTTAAGGTTTGTTTTAAGTCAACATTTAAGGGGGAAAATCTAACAAACCAAGAAAAAAATCACCAAACTGACTGCTCCTCATAACCGTAGATGTTTCAGTACGCAGTTTTAAAAACATCACTGATTACATTTTCATCTGCAGCCTGTAGTCACTGAAAATGCTACTAATCAAAACTACAATTTCTACATTACATTTAGCTTATCAAAGACAGTCTCAACATATAAAATGGGTGTCTTTCTTCTCTTATAAATGTATAATCAATAGCATATTACATCCTGTTCTTTTGTCAATGTTCTTTTCTGTGAAGATGTACGAAGAGTTTCAGTCAAACTGACTAATAACAAAAACTGCAGTTTCTGACTAATTTCCAATGGCTTTGTAGGGCGTGTTTTATAATGTTTTCGGGTTCATGAAGTAAACAAAATAGAATAAACGAGCAACTGCTATCTTATTATTTTCAACAAGGATATTCTGCCATATCTTTTGAAAGATTCTCTTAGAAATCTGTGCCATTAGCCACTGCAGCAGGAAGAGAAACATGACTTAAATTACAAACGGCGATTTAAACTTGGCTTTCTACTTTTCTAAGTGTGCAAAATCATTTTTTGTTTTTGTAATGGAATGCTTCAATTTCTGAAGGGGGGATCTATGGCTAATTTGATTTTCACCAAACTTCCAAAAAGATTACCCATATCAAATATCACTCTTTAACATGGGGATTAAAAATGAAAGCAACTGTTTTGGTAAATACATTTTATTAGTATTATTATTTAAGAAATAGAGCTGGATATGTTACTTTCTAGGCTTTGGTTATTTTTTAAATAAAAAGCTTACTTTTTTTTTTTAACAATTTGAGACAGAAAATGAAATTTCATATATGTTCTTTTTTTTTTTTTTAAAAAAAAAAAAAAGAATACTACATACAGCATTGTTTTAAACAAAACCACTACTGGTTTTCATAGAAAGAACAGAGAAAGCATGAACACTATTACCCTTAGGGGGAAAATAAGCAAAAGAATGGAAATGTTTTTAAGCTTCATGATGGATTATGTTTTTAATAGTTTTGCCACAACAAAGCATTTTATTGAAATAGCTGCTCTACGCCAGATCAGGGCACATACACCATTATTTTAACGAGCTTTAACAAGAACCCACATTCCCAGATGAGAAAATCTGATCGTTTGAGATTATAGGGGTGGGGTGAGGGTAGGGGTAGCTTACTTGTTTTTCAAAGGCAGTTGGCACTAGTCGTCTCAACTCAGATAAACTGTTATTTATCCGATCCCGACGCCTTTTCTCTATAATCTATCCCAAAGAAAGACAAACAACAATAAAAAAATTTATGAATAAACAAATTATAAAATTACTTATAATGGAAAAATACAACTGTTACACTTTAGGCTGAATTATATGAAATAAAAAGAAAAAAAAAATCACATACCCCTCTTCTTTTCTTTCTTGCCATAATCTGAGATGTTGTTGTTGGAGAATTTGATCTAATCACAGAGCTAGTACTTTGCCTATGAAATAGGAAGAGTATGTCAGGTGTTGCATTCACAGAACAACCATTTTTTCTAGGTACTTGACAACACCATTAAGTATTCAGAGTGACTGTACAGTTCATGTATGTTATTTTATTCTTAACTCTTGCTTTACGTTTAGCATACTTTGCTTTCAGCCATTCTGTCTTTTCCAGATAGGAATTATGCCTTTTTATTTTTTTGTAAATGGATAATCCAGATGACAAATCCATTGGCAAAACTTCCCTAAACTTTTATTAAAGTCTCCCAGGGCAATAATTATGGGCAGTTAGGATGAGAAGTTAGATATTAGTACTTCCTAGTTCCACTCACAGATTTCCTAAGTCAACTATTCTCCTTTAATAGCATCTGTCCTGCTCCCTCCTGTCACACACCCTGAACAAAACACAGCTATCTCAAAATAAGGGTCATGTTAAGCACCACTATCAAACAAATATACAGTCATCTCATGTCAAAGTGTTGTCCCTAGATGCAATCTTTAAAATAAACAGAAGTTATCTTACCATTTCAAAAGATCAGTTAGTCATATCCCACGATAGCGGGGAAAACTGACAAATCTGATGTTTTGTACACTAATCCTCCAAAAGAATGTCCCAAATTAAGTATGTCACTGAGAGGAGAGAAAAGTTGGATCAAGGACTAGGTAAATGTCTTAGTCTGAAAACGAAACTGTAGGTGAGTATCTCTTAGTCTTCAGTCTAAGCTTAAACCTCTAGGAGATGCAATTCATCATGAGTTTACTAATGAAAAGACATTTTATGTTGAAACTTCAGATTATTATCTTGTTATTTTTATGATCCTTCCTAATGTGTATATCTGTTTCTCTTCATAATTCATGGGTACTATACTTCTTTATGCTCTCAAAATCTCCAGGTTCATTATTTGTTCTCTTTTTAGAAATGTTGCACACACCAGGTTCCTATTACCTCACCTTCTCACTTCTGGATCTTATTTCTAAATTAATTGTCCCCCTCATTTCCACCCCCTCCTGAGCTGGTTTCGCATTTTCCGTGACATCTTCTGTTTTTCAGACCTCATTTATTAAGATGGCATAATGACTCTAGCAAGTAGATAGGTACTTCGCAAACAACGTTTCTTTCATGTAAATATCTTTGCTTTTGCTGATTTCAGGAGTTGGTTTGTACATATTAGAATAACTTTATCAAAGAAAATCGGTTTTCCAAAGGTAGGAAAAATTTGTTTCTTTGAGTGACAGCTGCAGATAAATAATTAAGGTGCTTCTGGGATGCCAATTAGAAGCAATTATCATTTGACCCGCCTTGGCACTAAAATGCCTCGGTTATCTCCCTGTCACGGGAAAGTCGAGCTCTGGCTTCTGCGATCACGACCCCGATCTCTTCCAGATTTATGAACAAGCAGTCGAAGAGATGTTAACTGAACCGATCCTTACATTTGTCACTCGCGCGTCAGCCCAGTCACACGCTGTCAACCTGGAAAGCGCAACCCTACTTAGCCTAGACATCACAAACTGCTTTAACTTCTCCAAAGAGCAAGTCGTGTTTTTAGTCTCTCTAAAAATAAAAATACAAAAAAAATCGATTTGTTTTGAAAGTCCCCCCCAAATACAGTCTCAGTGGCGTCGCCGGGACGCGCTGTTCTGCGCGCTCACCCGCTGACAGCGGGGATCCTCCTTCGCCAGCCGCTGCACCTCTCCTTTCAGTCCTGTCCCCGTCCTCCCCTCCCCACCTGTACGGTGAAAAGCGACATCCCTCGCCATACCCCAATGCAAGCTCAGTGCGCGCCCACCAAAGTTTCTCCTGCAAAACATTTGCCCGCTCCTCCAAGACGCCGAAGAGAACAGCCTCGAGATTTCCAACGAGCCGCTATGCACAAAGCTTTCCGACGCCCTCGGGCTCCGGGCAGCCCCGCCTAGCCCGCGCTCACCCGGAGTAATTGTTCTCGCTCCCCACGTCGATGGTCTCGTCCATGTCGCTCTCGGAGGTCGTCTCCTCGCACGGGCGCTTCATCGCCGCGAAGGCGGCGCGGGGGCGCAGCCCGGCCAGAGCTACGGACGCCGAGCAGCGTTGCGACCTCCCTCCCTCCCTTAGCCCGGCAGGCGCGGCTCACGCGCGGCGCGGTTGGCTCCTCGCAGCTCTTTCCCACGCCGCAGCCCAGCTCTGCTGCAAGTGCTGGCGCCGGCCACACCCCTCCGCGCGGGCGGCGGCCCCC